TGGTGGAAAAGGAATCTGGATTTAACCATAATGCTTCAACAAGGCTCAAACCACTTTTTGAAAGCTACAGAAAAATTCACGATTTCTCACTTCTCTGTTAAAATTCAATGTACACATGGGTCTTTCCTCAACCATGAATCTCAAAACCAAGGGAAAAGGATATAGGAAAAGCTCTGTAGGAACAGATCTGTAGGAATGGTAGGAGACCTGCCCTTACCTGGTGCCTCCTGCAGTGCTGTGTCCATCACCCCTCACTCAGCCCGAACAGCTCTGCACTCCACAGCTTCCTTTGTGCACTACACTAGAGACTTACTAGAGTTAAAACCAGCTTTATTTTGTTTACTTAATTTAAACCCAGTGTGGAGGGACGAATCTGGAACAGCTGAACCAGTTTAGCAGTTCTGGACTCATTCTGCAAATAAGCTGGGCTCAGGAAAGCAGAGACAGCTGCTCACACACCTGGTGAGGGCCTGCAGGAGCCCTGCTCCATCCTGGAACTGCAGAATATCAGGGAGCACAAGGGTCCCCAGGGTCTCAGGGAGGTTGGTGGCACTGTCTTTAAGTCAGATTTCCCCTGCACAAAGATTTTTTTCAGCACTTTCCTGCTCACACCTATTCACCCCTTGCCATCACAAGCAGTGCTTCCCCCTCAAACGCAGCTCAGAAATGCATTATTTGTATTTGCCAGCAACCAAGAGCTGCCTGACAAAAAGAACCCCTCCCCAGACAAGTCTGGGCACCCTTCTTTTCTCTTCCTATCACCACTCACTACTTTCACAGCCCACAGCTCATTTTCTGGGAGCCCCCAGCCTGGCAGCTCTGCAGCCCAGATTTTAAGCATTTCACGATTCAGTCAAACACAGATAAAATTCCTCCTGTGTGTAACCAGGATTAAGAAAACACTAAAATACATGTCCAGGTTTCAAATCCTGGCTGTTCCCATTAAATGGGTTTCTCCAGAAGAGAATGAGATGCAGGTGGGATTGTCCAGGGCTGAGCACAACTTCAGCAGCTCCCACTGCTGCCTCCCCTAGGAGGAAGCGCAACACCTTTGCCAGTCAATTTATTATTCTTTACAATAATTAACAGATAATTTTTTCAAGAGAAAAATACCTGGATGTTATCATTTAGGAAAAATTCCTACATCAGCTATGCCAAATGAAAGTTATTACTTATTTTAAATAATATTATTATACTTTATTACACTCAGAAAGTGAAACTTTAGGGGTATAAAACTAACTACTCTTGAAAAATAAAGCCAATGCTATAAACACTATGACCTGCATTTCAACTGACCAAATTTCAACATGCAGATTTTAACTTTACACTAATAAAATACCACCTAACTCCATTATTTCACCAGCTGCCCACCACCTTCACTGAATCAAGAAGACTGAGAATCTATAAGATTTTTGAACTCCTGCCACTTTCCCTCATTCTGTATGAAGTCTTTTCTTTGTATTATACAGCACACTAAAAAAAAATAAATCAATATACAGTAAATTTCAGTTGACTGTAGTCAAAGCTCAAAGGTTTTTTTTCCCCCCCCTTCCCACTCTTGTTACCCCAGCAGTGCTCTCCTGGGTACATTTCTGTTTAAAAGGCCATCAGCTCTGATCTGGTTTTCATCTGTCTCACTGGACCAGAGAACTGTGTGGCTTTTTGAGCTCTGAATCAGGAAAGCACTTCTCAGCTGATGCAAACCTGCAGCCTTTACCTAATCCCTTCCTGGTTAATCAGGCACATCACAAGGTATCACTGATAATTATTTAATTTTTTCCTGCAATTCATTTTCCTACACCACGTCCTACAAAATGTGGACTATCAAATCTCCACTGAAAAGTTTGGGCTACAATTCTAAACAGCTTCACTAAATCAAAGGTGGAGATGTAGGCACAGGAGGGAACTACAGCTCTTCCAATTTCATTTTTCTGCATTCCAGTTGTTTTTCAATGGGCTAATCACTGACTGAACTCTCCCTGGTTTGGCTGAGAGAGGGAAACTTCAGCTGTAGAGCTGCAAAACCAACCAACCAACCAAAAATACCTGAAACAAGAACTGCTGTCACTGCAGATATATTTTAAAGACAGCAGCAGCAGAGCACCAAGGCAAGTCAATTTCCAAAGCCTGTTCCTGTGGCACATTCAGCTTTGAAGAACCGAAACATCAGGTTCCTAAGCTTCTCCAAACAAAAGTTAATTTCAGAGTATCCTGCCATTTAACCCATCTTGACACCACCCATGCACAACAGGAGCTTAAGCAAAGCTTGCATCACACAGGTCCCTTGAAAAAGTAATTTCTCATCAGTTCTATCTCCAGTAGTGTTCAACTTCAATGCATCCCAGGGGACTCTAATCCACTGTTCCCTGGTTTCCCAGCATGAACTGGCAGATTATGGATCTGACAGCACAAGAAGACAGACCTAGCTCCAAGCTGAGCACCAAGGGGGATTAAAAATTACTTTACAAATTAACAAACTTCCCTTTTTCCTTGATATTCTAGTAAACCAAGACCAGTCTTATAATTATTTCTCAAGTCATCCAAAGTCAGGATGGATGCTCACCTCCAGCCCCAGTCATTCCTCATCACTGACCATTTCCCTGTCCATGCAGGCTTGGTGAATTCCTCACACCACTGTGAATACACACAAAAAATCTTGTTTGCAGACTGCAGTTAATATGTGTCTTCTGGTATCAAAGTAAATCCTGATGATCACTTCCATACATAGAAAACCACTGGATTATGTCGCTTGTAAGACTCAGCCTCTTCCAGGAAGAACAGTAAAAAGATTGAATCTATTTGCAGAAACCTCCTGTTGCTGTATCACAACAACATTAAGATGTTCTTGTGGTATTGCAATGGGAAAATTCCCACAAGAACATAAACATAAACAACATCAAAGACAGCAAAGCTAGCTCAGAAAAAAAACAAACAACCAAAACCACCGCCCCTGCACAAGTGGTTGGAAACATTTGTGGGTGGAAACTTCAGAAGCATTATAGAAAAGTGACAGGAAAATATGGCACTGCTCCTTAGCCACGGTGACGTGATCTTTAGGAATTTAAAGAACAAGTTGTTTAGGTAGGTCCGTATTTCACATCCAGCTCAAGGGCTTGCAGGGTGTGCAGCCAGCTGGGTGCATGCTCAGATTTCTGGACAAGACCTCAACTTAGGTGACCAACACTGGAGCTGAGTGAGTGACAAGAGCCACAGGAGTCACCAGCAGAGCTTGCCACCACCCCATAGCAACTCCAAACCCCCCAAAATCCAGTAGTTTAACTTCCTTAAGACAGAAAAAACCAAGATGCAGATCAACTAGACATCCCCTACCTGTTCTATCCATGGAGGTGACATCCACCAAACCCACTGTGGGAAAACCCCACAGCCACTGGCAGCCCACAGATCCTGTGTGCCAAGCAGCACCTCTCACTGCTTTATTCCAGAAAACAGCACAGCTTCCAGCAGTGCTTCCACCCATCCCCTGCTGGGGAGTGAGAGACAGAAGCAGAAGCAGCACGGATCTTTGGGAGCCCCGGGAAGAGCCAGCGTGGCAGGACAGAGCTCACAGCACCTCTAGCTGCAGCCCCAACACCAAGTCAGCAGCGTTTTGGCAAGAGTTAAGCACCTTCACCAATAATTCTCCTCAAGTGAATTTGCCAGATTACTATGGGAAGTCTCCTGCATGATAAACAACTTTCTGGAACAATTTCACATGGGTACTAACACACTTTCAGCGCTTACAAGTTCAGTATTTCCATTCCTGATTTTAGTTTTGTTCATGATTTCCCACATACATTTCAAAAATACATCACTGAACAAGCCTGGCATGCAGCTTAAGCTGGAGTTCAAGTTTCTCTTGCAAAATACAGCAGTCAATACTTTGGAGAGTTTCTTGTCCTTCATGAGCTCTTGGTTTTGATTTTTGCACTCAACAGAAATACTGACATTCTTCCCCCCGTGTAAAACACGACAAATAAAAATCAGCATTGATTCTGTGTGCGTGCCAGTGGCACCAATAAGGTAACCCTAACTAACACGCTCCCACCCAAGGCTATCGCTGGATCATTCCCCATCAGGAACGGGCTGATCTCCCTCCGGCGCATCCGACAAAATGGTGCTTGGATTTGGGTTAAACACAGCAGGACTGGCAACAAGGTGACACACCACGATGCTGGGGACACCAGCAGCTCGCAGCCAGCCTGGTACGAGCCATGAAGTTGCCGGAGAAGGCAGATCAGGGCTCAGAGAAGGAGCAGCAGAGGCGGCGGGCGCTGCAGGGGCTCTGCGGGGAGCGGAGGCAGCGGCTGTGCCGAGCCGCGGCTGAAACTTGGGGCCGGCTCGCTCTGCTCTGCCCGCCTGACGGCAAAGTTCCGCCGTGCCCACGACTCATTCGAACCCGAACGGCCGCGAGGGACGTGCAGAAAGAGAGAAATTCTCATTCGAGAGAGAAAGGAATAAGGTTTTGAAGGAGCCTTCACCGGCGTGGTGCGGGGGATGTTAGAGACCAACACAGCAGAGCCCCGCCGCCACCAGAGCGGGGGGCGAGCTCTGTGCGCGCCTTCTCGCAATAGAGACAATTAGCATTTAATTAAAATCAAAACCAGAGCCGCTCAGCCTTAGAACTTGAGCAACTCCAGACTCAGAACAATTTTACAGGGGAAAAAAGCCCAAACCCCGTGCAAACGCTCAGACCGCCGGCAGCCGCACGCTCGGACCCGGAGCGCATCCCCAGCCCCGGGGAGCACGGGCACCTGGCGGAGCCCTGGCCCCCGGGACAGGCGGGCTGGGGGAGACAGCAGCTCCCTGCAGGTGGGCGAGGAGCCTCGCAAATGCACCTGCCAGATCACCCAGGCGGGCAGCGGCACGTACCGAGCGCCCGTGCCTGGCGCTGCATCCCCCGAGCACCCGCCGTGTCCCCGGTGCCGCTCCCCCGCTCCATCCCCCCCGAGGGATGCGGCGTTGCTCTGCGCTCCCCAACTTTGTTCCCCGAAGTTGCCCACCTGCAGCCGAGCCGTTCCAGCCGCCGCAGCGCCGTCCTTCCCCCGGAGCCAGCACCGTAATCCTGCGGCTCCCGCGGCTCCCGGCGCCTCTTCTGGAGCGGCGCTGGCCGCGCTCCCGGCGGCGGGGCGGGCCCGGCGCGATCTCCCGCCCACCGCTCCTCACGGCTCCTCACCGCCCCGGGGCCGACAGCCCAGCCCGGTACAGCCCAGCCCAGCCCGGCCCACCCCCTCCGGACACGGCCGGGCCCGTCGGCGCCGGGGATGCTCCGCTGGCGGCGGCCGCGGTTCCCTCGGGAGCCCCGCTGGACCCACCCGCTCAGGGAGGATGCGCTGCCGGGGAAAGTTGAGGCATTATGGCTTAAATAAAAACTGCATCTCGTTTCTGGGCTGCAAGCCCAGGGAAAGAGTCAGGTTCACGTAGGGCGCTGTGCGGGAGCCGGATAGAGGTTTTATTGGATCTGGCTCCAGCTGATCGCAGCATTAGAGCTGTGTGGTGTAATTAAGGCTGAGCAGAATTCCTTTAAGTCCCTTTTTTTTTTTTTTTTTTTTTTTAGCAGGTAGTACTAAATTTCCTGAAACCTGTATTAGCTTTCAGCATCCCAAAGCACAGTGAAGTGTGTGTTATAATAAAGTGTGCATTAGCTCCCTGTGCCTCAGTTTAACTCAAATTTTGCCAGACATTACTTTGTGTCAGAGCCACAGTGAAGTGTTGATGTAGGAGAGTCAATCATAGCACCACAGAATGGTTTGGGTGGAAAGGGACCTTAAATCCTATCCAGTGCCACCCCTGCCATGGCAGGGACACCTCCCACTGCCCCAGGCTGCTCCAGCCCCAGTGTCCAACCTGGCCTGGGGCACTGCCAGAGATCCAGGGGCAGCTCCAGCTGCTCTGGGCACCTGTGCCAGGGCCTGCCCACCCTCACAGGGTGGGATTTATTCCCAATATCCCATCTAAACCCGCCCTTTGGCAGTGTGAAGCCATTCCCTGTGTCCTGTCCCTCCATCCCCTGTCAATTGTCTCTCTCCATGTTCCCTGGGGCTCCTTCAGGCCCTGCAAGGCCACCCTGAGCTCAGCCCAAAGCTTCTCCTGTGCAGGTGAACAATGCCAGCTGTGCCAGCCTTTCCTGCCAGCAGAGCTGCTCCATCCCCTGATCCCCCTGGAGCCTCCTCTGGGCTCTCTGCAGCAGCTCCAGCTCCTCCCTGTGCTGGGATCTTCCCAGAAGGGAGAAAGGACTTAATGGCTGTCGTTTTGTACACAAGGAATTCTGGACAGGGTGGTGATGCTCTGCTCTCATGGCATGAGGAGGAAAGAGGTGAGGAAAACAATTTGCTTCTTCAGCAAGTAAGATTTAAGTCAGTGCCACCTCCGTTTCCCTTCCTGTCCAGTTGTGTCATGAATTATTGAAATGTGCTGGCTGAGAAACAATGACATCTCCTCTGGGGAAAGTAGAGACTTGACACAGCATCTGTTGACCCAGACTTGGTGCAGGAGCCCTGACCTGAAGAGATGTCCTTACTTTTCCATGCATGTGCAGGTTTATAATTAAGAAATGTCCAGCACAGAAGTGCACCCACTTCTGTAATGAAATGTGCCACTGGTCTGAGGAAGGGATGTCAAAAAATAAATTATCTCAGGAAAACAAGATGCATTTTTAATTGGCAGAGTGTGATCAAATAGGACTCGTAGAGATGATAGAATTACAGGGATTTAATGAGCTACCATGAGCTGAGCACAGAGGTTTTTAGCAGCGAGGTCCAGCTCAGCCCTGGCATGGAGCAGGAGGGTGCTCCCAGCCTGTTTGGGCTGGTGTAGCACAATCTGATAACTCCATCACACCTCTGAAACTCCACTTTGGGCTTTTGCCTGGAAGATAATACTAACTTCAGGCTATTATTGCACTAAGCCTTAGCTAGGACTGGGGTCAAGCCTTAGTTCCCCAGCAAGCTGCAGCTCAGGTAGGGCTGTGAACTCCTGTGTGGGTGAGCACGGGGCAGAGCAAACCCCAAATGCAGATTTGGCTCCCTCAGAGCTGTGCTGCTCACGTACTCACAACACCCCAGTCTTATGAGAGCTGACAAGGTCAGGGACCTGTGGCACAGCTCTGCACATGGAAATAGCAGCTTTAGCTGGGAAGGCCAGCGTGAGAAGGATAGCCTGTATTTTTATGCTTGACCAACCACAGAGGCTGTTCAAATTTTAAAAATGCATCCTGCAGCTTGCCTTGCCTGGTGTCCTTTTGTCACCTCCAGCCCAGCCCCATCTTTGGACTCCTTTGGCCAACTAATATATTTTTTCAATTTCAGTTAAGTCAAGACTTTCAAATTCCTATCATAGGTATCAAGTTCGGCCACATAAAAGATACTTTTATTTTAAGTTTGTCAAAAAGGCACCTTATGAGATTGTGAGGTTGAAGAGATGACTCTAATATTTAGGATGACAAGTTATAACGGACAAAACCTACTCTTCCCCTCACTTATTTTCCAGCAGCCCAGGCATGCAGAAATAGTGGGTTTGTAAGTGCTTTTCCTGTATTCATTTCAGAACACACAGCAAAGGTGCAGTATCACCATAAGGGAAGCAATTTGCAGGCAGTGAATTCTCTGAGGTTACCTGGAATGTTTTCACACAGCCCCTGAGCCTGTGCTGCCCTTCTGCCATCTGGGGCTTCTGAACCCACTGCAATATTCACCTTCAATAATAACAAATGAATTATCAGTCTCACGCTCCTTCCAGCTAATGATTTTTTTTTTTCCATTTCCACTTGTCATTCAGACATCACTGTCAACAGCTCTCTGAAATTAAACATGAAGAACAGCAATGCTTTGACTCTAGTGTTGTCTAATTAAAGCTTCCTAAGAATCAAAGTGGGAAAAAACACCCTGCACAGGTGTAAGCAGGTACATCAAGATCATATTTAAACTTCCCAATTAATAATTTGTTTTAAAGACCTGGCTTAACCTTGTCCATCCTCATGGCAGCTGTAGACTTAAAATATCAATTGAGCTCTTGTTCCTATTAACTACACCCTCTCTCTGTTCTCTGCTTTAGTTGCTGTGTCCTTTTCCCAGCAGTTTTTCCATGTTCATGTTTTCACCACATGGATTGCCCACATAACTTTTGTGTCCTGCTTTGACAAACCTTGTTTTTTTCAAATTTGAGATGGGAATTTAGCCACCATTAACAAGGAGACTCAGATACACCATAAATTCTTCCAGAAAAACAAAAAAAAACAAAAACAAACAAACAAAAAAAAAATCAGTGCTTTTCTCCCAGCTGCTTTAGCTTTTGAAGAATTTCTCGTACCACTGGCAGAAATATCAAGTTACTGTCCTCAAGCTTAAGCAGAACTTGGTTTGTAAAACATCTCTAGGACGTTACCAAAGTGGGATTTTGCGAATGGGGCTCAATGAAAGACCATTAGTCTGACCTTACCACTGACAATCACCATCAGTTTCAATTAACTGAAACAGCCTAGAAAGTAGAATATTAAAAATAAATTTAAAACCTTTTGAAAATTTAGTTTTCAGTCCTTCTAGGCATAAAGGTTAGAGTAGCTCACCTTTTCCCAGCACACTTTCAGGCATAATTGTGTCAATGGCAAAAATATAAGGTCACACTATAGGATCCTTTGGATGCAGTTAAATAAGTAGAAAATCTACTCTTTCCAGTAATATTTATGGGATTCTTATTTACAGAAAACTGCTTAATGTCAATTTAATCTTCCTAATTTTTAAGTGACACTTCTCTCCTTAAGATGACACTGATACCAACTAATCTGAGGCCTTGATTTGCAGGCACAGTTAGGGGATTGTGCATTTATTTCAACATTGAGGTCAGCTGTAACAACTGGGTGTTGGTTTGTTTGGTTTTTTTCATCTGTATCACAAGCCCAGGGGAGCTTCCTTGGTGTGGTGGTGCTGAATTCACTCCCTTGCCTGGTCCATGGTCACCAACACTGACCCCAACATCAGCCGTGCTCCTCGTGCCCATGGCCAGGTGGATTTTGGATAATCCTGCTCCCCACAGGCCTGGGAGGTGTTATCTTAAAGTGATTCTGTTCTCAGAAGCAGCCGGCACAGCTCTGGTCCAATTTCCCTGAATTCAATGGTAACACTTCTTTTGGCATCGAACCCAATTGATTAAATCACCAAGCATCTTAAAATTCCCATTTCATTGCCTCCATGAGCTGCTGCTCGTGCTAATAAATGGAGAGTGCAACTGGTGTTGGGAGCAGCAGGAGGGAAGGGCCAGAAGGGGAGGCTTAATGAGTGGCTCTGGCTGTATGAAGGAAATTAATTCTGTGGCTGGATTAAAGAGCAGCACTGGAAGCCTCACTTTGCCCTGACAGAATCTGCATTTCAGGGTTTACACCTCTGTAACAACCCCAGTGGTGTTCTGTGGATGGAAATGTCCTTTATGCAGGCAGGACCTGCAGCAGGCCACAGTGACTATTCCTAAAAGTGGAAGAAAGAAAGTGGATTACCTTTATGCAGGCAGGACCTGCAGCAGGCCACAGTGACTATTCCTAAAGCCATCAAAGAAAGTGGATTGTGTGCAATTGTGCTGGAGAGCATCTCACAGAAAGAAAATGATAACAGGAAGGTTAAGTGCCCAGCAAGTGCAAACTGATATACAATATCTTGAAATCACAGAGAAAGAAAATTAAAATGGGGAAATGATTTCACATATAGGTAGATGGAGGCATAAAAGCAATCTATGAACTCTGGGAGGGAGAGCAATGAGAGTGGTGCTGTCAGATGTGCAGCCTCTTGCCCATTAGAAAGAAGTGATTGAAGGCTAATTCCAATAAACAGGCAATTTTAGTTTTGTCATTATTTCAGACTTGGTTTTTTTGACTCTGCTTTTGTGTGTTGTTGAAGTATTTGTGTATTAATAGCTACTGATTTTAATAGCATTACAGTAATTTGAACATCTGCAGCTACCAGACATTAAAATACCATCACTCCCCTGTATTTCAAGTTATTTTTTGCTGTACTTCTGCCTGATTTTGTCAAACCCATTAAAATGCAAGGGATCAGTTCTTATCATTACCCATTAACTGGCAACCTTGAGCTGAAGTGTTCAGCAGGAACCAGGCTGATGCCTGGAGGCCTGGCCA